AGATAATAATAAACTTCTTGCTATGAAAAAAATTCAATCTAGTGACAAAGGTAATGAAGATATATATAGATCCATTTTTCTCTTATCAATTCTTTTAAACCAATATTTTCTTCTCATTTATTTTATTTTATTAGCAAGAAATAAGAGTATTGTGTTTATCGTTCTAATAAAAAATATTTCAATAATAGTAATGTTCACAATAAAAAGACAAATCCAGCTCTTATACTTTATATGTTAGACAAATTTATACTATATAATTTGTATTCATAACTTTTTTTAATAATATTAAATAAAGTTAACGGTTAAACTTTATATTATTTTTTAGTTTTTTAAATTCTATGAAATTTAAAATTCATATTCACAAGTTTTATTTTATTTTATTTATGTCCAAATCAATGCATTATCATAGAAAGTATATTATTAAATTAAGTTTATATAATATTTTCAAATTTCAAATTTAAATTTCACTTCAGATTTTATCGTATTTTTTATGAGATTTTTGTTTGTGTTAATTGCATTTTAATTTTGGACACCAATATCAGCATTAGATTATTTTGGTTAATCTATCATAAGAATCAATTAACATAAAAGCATATTGTTGGAGAAAAAAAACTCAATGGCTCATGATTGTGATTAAGTGTTAAAATCAACAAAGTGTAAACATGATCAATATTTTTTTGATAGATAACAAACCAAACAAATAAATTATGTAAGATACAAGTGTTCTGTCAAACAAAATATACAACACTGTACACTATACAGTCTTAGTTTATGTTTGCTGAAGTGAGAAATCTCTCGGACAATTAAAATTCATAGAAACAAGTTAATCTTATTTCACACTAAAAGTATATATGTTTACTCTTTGATTACAAGAAACATATCTCGAAAAGAATTTGTTGGTCAAAAGATACGAATTCCTCGTTGTTTGATCAATTAGCATTTGATAGTTGCAAGCACTTGAAATTTAAATATAAATTCGTCTTGATACGTCTAAGCTGATATTAGAATTGGTATGAGAATTTACTTTGGTGATCTTGATAATACTGGCTTAGGTAAATGGTTTAACTTGGTTAAATTTTGAATTGTGAGAAATTTGAAAATTTGGTTTTGATTGTTTTATAGGGATGCCTCTGTCAGATTTTTGAATTACATTAATTTGACACTCCTCAAGTTAAGAATGTGAAATCTTCAAGTATTAGAAGGTTTGTTAAAAGAGAATTAACTTAAATTACTTAATTAGAACTCAAAGAGGAAATTTGATTAATTAGAACTCAATTACAACATGTTTTATTTATATACGATATTCTTTTTCTACATTAGCTTACCATTTCTTATTTTCTTGTCTATTATGTGTTGTGTTATTCTTTTGTAATGATCATATTATTTGTGTGAGTAGATGGAGCTGAAGGTGTAAAAGCACATTTTGTGATTCAAGAAACAAGTGTCTAGGAGGTTGAACGATGTTAGTTCATGTTGAAGTACCTGAAAAACACTAGAAAGAAGGGTTGAATAGTATTATAAGAATTTTTTTTACAAAGGAGATAGTTAACAAACTTGTCAAGGATTGAAAGATTTAAATATAAGCTATTAAACGCTTGACTTGAAGGTTCTGTTCAAACTACAAGTTTTTGAACAAATATTTTTCAATCTTTTAAACAAGTTTACACAGCATTTTGATAAATCTAGCTCTTAATAAAAATAACATTTGATAACAAAAGCTTTTATAATGGTCAAGATAGTGTGCAACTGCAAAGTTTATAAAAAGAGCGTTTAGTAAGATTAAAACAATAAACACACAGTTGTTCTTATACTGGTTCGCTCCACCAAGCTATGTCTAGTTTTCCTCTAAGACCTCCTAGAGGGTTCCACTATAATCTTCAACAAGAATACAACTGAGTATTTTCACCACTCCTGGTATCACCTAGTCACTCCAAGTAACCTCGTTACTCTGACTAGAACCGAGTTTCACCTGCTCTTGGTTGTGTAGTATTCTTCACCATTCTTGGAATCCTTAGACACTCCTGGTATCTTTCCAGTACACTGTTTAATAGAGTTTCACCTACTTCTGGTTTCCACTAGACAAACCTGCCTAGCTATCGTTTAACCCACCAAGTTAAGCATAAAGTGTTTGAATTCTCTTCAAAATTTACAATCAAAGGTTGACTACAAGTCCTTAGACTGTTACTCTCACATAGAGGATGTGTATATAATACAATTCAATATAATAGACTCTCAGATTTTTCTCTCTTCTTACAATGGTAAACTTTTAACTTTAGGTTTAAATGCTTACTTCATCCTCATGTTAAGAGATGAATTTCTGTTTAGTACCCGATTTTAAAAATGAAGACATTGAGTCCCTATGTTATGAAAAGTGTATGAATAAGGTCTTGTCCGTTAAGTTGACAGCAGTGGCGTTAAGTCCATGTTGATGTGGTCGTACTTTTTCTCTTCTCTCTTTTACTGTCCAGTTTTTTCTATCTCTTGTTCAGCTTTTTCTTTGATGATTTGTTGAACTTGTTCTTTCTTTGTGGACCTTATTCATATATTTTTCATAACATAGGGATCCAATGTCTTCGTTTTCAAAATCGGGTACTAAATAGAAATTCACCTCTTAACATCGGGACGAAGTAAGCATTTAAACCTTAATTTTATGAAGCTTGAGAGTATTTTCTTTTTCTTTTGAGCTTTTCTTTTCTTCACAAATATTTTCTTTTGTATTCGTGTGCTTATTTTCTTGCTCTTTTCTTTGACATTATTCAATATATAGGCTTCAAGAAAATGTCCGTGAGATAATACTTTGATCTTTGGATCTTCTTAGTCTTGTCGTAGGTAGCAGTCGTTGGTTAAAGTAAACTTGTCAGAACATACATGATTTTTCAGTTCTTTATCAAAAGTAGGTTGTATGAACTTTCTGCCGCGACTTTTGATAGAGAAAACATTCCATGAATATATTGTTTGTCTCTAACATTCACTTTTGATTTGTATATAATGACATAGATAATCTGCATAGAGTATACTAGATTTGCATGCAGATATATGTGTTTTTTTTCTTATGACTTTTGTTGTTTTTAAACATTATGCATTTAATGACATTTAATACATGTTCAGAACAACAAAGTACTTTTCATGTTTTCTATTATTTAGGAATGATTTGATCGTTTAAGCTTTTCACTAAGATACCAAGTAGTTGATGAGGACTTCATTGTTGGATGAAGGAGATAGTTTGGCACATGGTATCATCTAACTTATGTAAACGCTGCTTTAGGTAATCTGCACAAAGTAGAGTAAATATGCATGCATGTAGATACGTTCTTTTTCTTATCACTTTTGTTGTTTTTAAACATTATGCATTTAATGACATTTAATGCATGTTTAGAACAACAAAATGCTTTTCACATTTTCTACCACAAGATTTGATCGTTTAAAATTTCACTAAGATACCAAGTAGTTGATGAAGGCTTCATCGTTTGATGAAGGAGATCATTTGGCACATGATATCGTCTAACCTGTGTAAACGCTGCTTTAAGTTGTCTCTGTTTAGGTCAAAAACGCTTTTAGCAAAATGTTTTTGAACACAAGTTTTTGGATCATCTAAGTCTTTTAGTGTACTTTTCCAAAAGATCTTTTAACACTTTTATCTATTAAGACATGTTGAGAGTTTGTTTGATCATTGCTTGAAAATGTATAACAACAATTTCCTTCTCAAGACTTTTTTTGATGCATTTAATAGGGAAACTGTTTAGTGGTGCGTTTGTTCCTGTATTGATGTGTTTACTAAATTTTTTCTTAAGACATTTAGATTTCATTTAATGTTGTTTTTTAAACTTCAAAATATATGTGGAAGTTTAGATAGTTCAATTTTATAGACGATCTTGTCTTACACATTCTAGGTATAGTCTTGTAATAGAATTATAGTATAGTAACTTGAGAATGTCTGAGTTATATTACTATAATCTTATCTTATAAAATTGTACTAATATACCATGCATATTGGATTATCTGTCTTCTGAATATTCATAATAAAAAAAATTATTTTAGTAGTATCATGTAATTAAAATAAGATGTTTCATTTATGATATCAGAATAATTCATCATTAGGATGACCTCAGAGTTATATATTTATCATTGCATGTATAAGAGTTTAATTTTAGATTGTAGAGATTGTTTATGAAACTAAAAGTATTAAAAATGGAGAGTGTTTTGATAAAATAACGAGGGTTCACGTTTATGACTACATCAAGTATATTTTTCATTCTTAATTAGGAGAGTTTTGAAAGAAGAGTGATAAACATGTAGATTTTAGAAAAAACATATGTTCAGCAAATATGTATAGAAAAATTGTATTTGGTAGAGGAAGAGATATGCTATCATGTTTTCGTCTCTACATAATAAGAATAAGTGTAGACGTATTTTATTCTTAATATAATAAAAATTATATTATTAATACAATGGTTTTAATTCTGTTAATAATATTTAAAATGTAATTCATTAATAATTAATATAATTAAGTTCGGTTTGATATTTAATATTTTCTATATGTATTTATTTAGAAGTTTAACATTAATACCAAGATTTTAAATTTATAAAGAAGAAAAATAAAAAGTAAAAGATTTTTCTCAATGTTTATTATATATTAAATTTTTTTTTAATTTTTTTAATAAACATGATAATTATTAAAGATAAAATACATATTTAGTTACTTTAATTATTAATTTTGATTATTAATCATGTTTAAATAAAATTAACAAACTTAACATTTTTGTATTAAGAGTGTAATTACAAATTAAATATGTTAGGATTGTCATATATATTCTTTTGTTTATTTGCCTAATAAAGGAAGATTGATTTTGGTTGGATAGGTAACATAAATAAAAGTTTGGTACATAGGCATTTGAGAAGTACAAAGGGCAAAGTTTTGAGTCCTTTTCTCTTACTACCTCAATTTTCACTACAAAACAAAACAAGACCAACCCGGCATTCCACCAAAGGTTAATCTCTTTTGATTTTAAATATTGGTGTTGATTGCTCATTGCAGTGTACGATATTATTTTTTATGTTTATGAGACCAAACAAACACATTCCCGTAACGTCATGCGTCTTTACCCATCGCACGTGGATTGCCTTGTTAATTAGAATAAGTAATCAATGGCATGTTTATCTTTGTATTCTCCACTCCAATAAGAGATAACAGCATCAATTTCAATTCTGAATCTGATTTGGTTCTGAAAGAACTCAAGTAATTAGTTCTGACAGATATGGCACCCGATATGGAACCAAAGAAGATCATAATTGATACCGACCCTGGCATCGGTAACGTAACACAAATATCTGTCTTTCAATTTGTTTACTTTTTTCCTTTTGACTTTGTTATTGTTTTGCTAATCCAAATCAATTTGAAGTCGTAAGTTTCTGTTTCTCAGCTCTGATCTCAGAAAAAAACTGACTCTTTTCTTTTATCAATTGGACACTTTGTCTGCTTGATTTCTTCAATTCCTTGTTTATCTGAGAATTTCCACCGGTTTCTGTAGATGATGCCATGGCAATATTCGTTGCTCTAAATTCACCAGAAGTTGAAGTTATTGGACTCACAACCATCTATGGAAATGTTTACACCACTCTGGCAACCAGAAATGCCTTGCATTTGGTAAGAACATTGGGACTGTTTCCCAAAAGGGTTTGTTCTCTATGGTGAATGAAATTGACCCTTGACTTATTAATGGTAAAAGCCTCTTACTTTACTTACATATGCAGTTGGAGGTTGCGGGAAGAACAGATATACCCGTGGCAGAAGGATCACATCTGACATTAACTGTAAGTCTGTCATACTTTGATCTTTATCGCTTTTGTTTTGGGTATTGTTTTGAATATATGAGCATTTAGAACTAATAGGTATATTTGATCTTTAATTGAATGCCTATACAATAATCTTATAATTTAGGTACTTTATGCTATTTTTATTATATTCTCTGCACATTTGAAATTTTCAGTTAAGAACAAATGCGTAGTACTAATTTTTTACAGTCAAAAAGCTATTATTTTTCTCATTTCAACCTGAATGAGCGGCAAAATTTTATCACTTTGCATACGTACTACAGATAAGTAAACTATTTTTGCTGTCATTTGAAATCTGTTTTCTTTCTTTTAGAATGCATTGTAGTTTATTGCCTCATTGAAAAAGTTGAACCATGTTAGCAGTATGAAATTGAAAGTTCTTCTTCTGCAGTATTTCATTGCATTTGACTCTGCTAATTGTTGTCATCCTTGTCTCTTTGTGCAGAAAGGAACAAAACTTCGTATTGCAGATTTTGTCCATGGTGCAGATGGGCTTGGCAACCAAAATTTTCCTCCACCAAAGGGGAAGCCCATTGAAGAGTCAGCTGCTGCATTTTTGGTTCGTCAAGCAAAACTTAATCCTGGGAAAGTCACTGTGGTGGCTTTGGGCCCGCTTACAAATATTGCTTTGGTATAATATATCTACAATTTCCCAATAAGGCATTTTCATGTTACTCTTCATTCTGAGTTTCATTTCATGACAATGTTATATTTTTGCAGGCTGTACAGATGGATCCAGAATTTGCAAAGAACATTGCCCAGATTGTTATTCTTGGAGGAGCTTTTGCAGTTAATGGCAATGTGAATCCAGCAGCCGAAGCCAATGTTAGTATTTCCATCCTGTATTTAAATTCTTAATAACTTCCATAAAAATATTATATCATTCACAACTCAATCTGTCTAACTCATTGGTTGGATTTGGTTCTAGATATTTGGTGATCCAGATGCTGCAGATGTTGTATTTACAAGTGGGGCAGATATACTTGCAGTTGGGATAAATGTTACCCATCAAGTTATACTGACAAGTACCCCTTTCACAAATTCCTTGCCTCCTATTTGCTATACTTGTGTAGTCATTTTATCCGAGTAAAAGAAATAACTTTCCGTTTTAAGTCTTGTGTAGTTTACTATTTCTTCAATTTATAGTGATTTTATTTGATTTTTGTTTATTATTTAATAACTTTCCTCATATAAAGTTTAGCTCAGCCTAATCCACAAAAATGTCGCTGAATAAATAGTGAAATAGATTGGTGTATAGTACATTTACTGTCTATCACACCCCAAAAAACTTTTTGGAGGAGGATAAGAGTTTTTTCTATTGAAGCATGTTGTGTTTACCCCGGGCATAGGAGGGTATCCCTCATTTAAAGTATGAGATTCTAGTATGGGGCGTATAGGGCCTCAGGCTCTTGAACTACAATAGCTAGGTTTCGTGGTGTGGTTCTCCTAAGGTTCTTATGACAATCCAAAAGCTGTGACTAAGTTCAACAACCACTTTTTCTCCTTTGATAGTCATCAATGGCCAACTCATACAAAGGTTTAAACTATTTGCTGAAGGTTCATCAATGATGTTCATCCACAATATTTGGAAACCATGGTTTCGTGAAACCTACTCTGAAATTTGCTGTTGTGTTACTTACACTTTTTAGTATTTATTAGAAGTTAACATAGGTTAAACAGCATCAGCATGGTTCTATTTTAATTATGTTGTATGTCTTTTAACTTTCTGTGGCAGCAGACTGACCACTGTTCTGGTTTACTCATCTAAAAAACAAAAATTACTAGGTTCTGATCGAGAAATTTTGGCAAATTCAAAAGGAAAATATGCTCAATACCTGCACAAAATCTTAGATGTATATTTCTCTTACCATCTGGAGTCATACAATACCAAAGGTTTGTCTTCATAGTGCTTGCAGAATTGGTAGAAATCTAATAATCTATCTTACTAACTATTGTTACTTTGTATACAGGGGTTTATCTTCATGATCCAACTGTGGTTCTTGCTGCTGTTGATCCTTCACTTGTAACTTGTATAGAAGGTGTTGTCAGAGTCCAAACGAGTGGCATTACAAGGGGACTCACAGTACTCTTCAACAAACAGAAAAGGTAGAAACCACCTGAAAATGGATCAAGTTCCTATAGAATTAAGTCTAATTTTCATGCGTTTTGTTTTGTTATTTCTATATATGGGTTTCATGGTGTGTTGCAAAATGATTGATACGTGCGAAGATGCTGACCTAGTTAAGATCTTAGACTTGTGTAGTGATGTTTTTGCACACCTTTTTGTTATGGAAAAAAAGTATAATTTAAGTTAATTGTGTTTGTCTGCTTGCTAACTTTGACTTTGTTGATAGTTCTAATACTTAAATCATGCAAAATAGCTTGTTAAGATAGTATTAGAGTTCTTTTTGTCCGGAATTTGTTTCTCAAGAACATCAAAATAGTGCAGAAATGAACTTTTCTACATGTTCCCTTCTCATCTTTCATCAGGATTCTTAGGCTCGTAGCATTACCTATTGAGCTTATATTCTTAGTTTCAAGAAAAACTCTTTAGTCATCTCATGTTTTAAGCCTTGGTTCTAAAATCTCTTCCTTTCCTTTTCCTTTATACTTTGCCAAGTATCTGAATGAACCCTTTACTTGTTCATCCAAAGATTAAGCCGTCACCATATCACTTCTTTGTATCACCAATTCAGTCTTCACAAGGATGAACACTGGTGTTTTAGATTTTTTTTGGGAATATTTAGTGACAAACACTTTAAAGAAATAATGAGGAGGCATGTTAACCTTTGGAGGACCAAGTAGAAGGTCTTTTTGATTAAAGGCTTTCAACAATGAAAAGAACAATGTAATGGATGATTTTTGAAATGGACTTAAACACAATCCTTTTTTTGAATGTTTATTTCTTCACCATGTACTTCAAACTCAGTCAACTTTTGCATTTTTGTTCCATTCATTGCCAGGTTTGGTGAAATCCATGAATGGTCGAATAAGCCAACAGTAAAGGTGGCTGTGACAGTTGATGCTCCTAGAGTTATGAAACTGGTAATGGATCGCCTTTTGGACTCTTGAAGTAGCCATGAAGCATTCAAAAAGCTCTTTAGTTTATCCTTCTTATATTTGTGTTTTGTAGCTCTTGAGCTCTACCTTGAATTTCATTTCAATTTCAGTGTGAAAGGAAAAGTTCTATTACTTCATTGGTTAAATTTTCATTTGACTTCCAATTATAATATATGAGCAGCACTTGTATCTTACTTGTTGAACACTAAGTTACATTATATCTAGTTCTTTTGTACAAACTGTAAATAATTCCACTAATCAAATTGATTAAAAGTACACAAAGTTAAACATGGTAATTTTCTTTGTGTTGTCCTAAGATAAAATGTGAGTATTACGTCAACTATTGGTTGAATACACAATCTCATTCTTGGTAATACAATAAAAGTTGTTTAAAGATTAGAAGAAAATTCTCACAAAAAGTATTGCTCCTTGTTCAAGAGGCTAATTTATGATTTACAAAGAAAATTTTCTCTCTTAAAGCCGTCCAATTATATTCAAGACTTAGAAGTCTTTTTATTCTTTTACATGTAACATATTCAATTCACTTAGAATCATGCGTAGAACATTAGTCTTTTATGCATGGAATGATTTTTATTTATGAACGTCCATTAAAGGATCTTTAGAAGCTTGCATGCTTGTTCATTTGATTTTTAGGCTTGCACCTCCAAATTTCATTATCAAAACAAGTTTAACCTTTGAAATATATATATAAAACATAAAATAAAGTAGGTAAGCAGTAACTAATCCTTATCAAACATATTTATTATAACATCTATATTTACTTATCAACCATGCATCCCTAAAATAAATGCTATGTAGAATGGTGAAGCTTAGGAGTGCATTCCATTACCATCTAGGAAATCTCTTGCTAGTTGTAGGTAGATTTTTGTTATCAAAGTTGGTCTTGATGATACTATTAATCATCTTAAAGCTCGCATTGTGATTAAAGGTTACCTACAAATTTTTGGTTTATTTTATGGTGATACTTTTTTTTAGTGAAAAAGATGTCTTTTGTTTGCTTATTTATGGTCATGATTTCTCTTCCACAATGACCTTTTACCATCTGGATGTCAAAAGTGCTTTTCTTAATGAAGATTTGTAGCCAAAAATTTATATGGAGCAACTTTTAGGTTTTGTTACTTAGGGGAAGTTTTATAAATCGATATGTTGTTTCTGCAAATCTTTAGATGGTTTGAAACAGTCTTCTAGTGCTTGGCTTGGAAAATTTAGTTGTGTTGTTCAACAATTTGGTATGACTAGTGAGGCAAATCATTCTGTCTTTTACCATCACTTAAGTGTTGCGTGTATTTATTTAATAATATATGTTTATGACATTATTCTTATAGATAGTGACCACCATGACATCTCCTAAATAGAACAACACATTTGCCAACTCTTTCATACCAAAGATTTTGTAAACTTAGATATTTCTTGGGAATTGAGGTTACATAATCCAATAATGATATTATTATGTTTCAAAGGAAGTATGCATTTGATATTTTGGGAGAAACTGGGTTGATGAACATAAAATTTGTTGACACACCCATGGATCCTAATACCAAACTTCGACCTAATCAAGAAGGCATCTCTCAAATCCTTAGAGGTACAAAAGATTAGTTGGAAAATTGAACTATCTTACTATTAGTGGTTTTGACATTTCTTTTGTAGTTAGTATGGTGAGTCAAATTTTCAATTTCCCATGTATAGATAAATGGAATACTATCATTCGAAAATGTTTACTATATGGTCACAATAATCATACTAAAGTTGTATGTTATTCAGATATTGATTAAACAATATCTCCTTTAGAAAAAAAGGCTCACTTTTAGATATTGTATTTTCATTGGTGACTACTTGATCTCTTTCAAGAGTAAAATCAAATCGTTGTGGGAAGATCTAATGTAGAAATAAAATATAAAGTTATGTCCTCAACCACTTAAGAACTTATTTGGTTTAAACAATTAATTAAAGAATTGTAATTTTATATGTCACTCAAATTACATTTATATGTGACTATTAGACTCCTCTTTATATTAACATATTCAAGTTGGTTGTCGTTTTATTCGATAAAAGATCGTGGACATTAAAACTTAAAAGTGATCAAGTAACAAATATTTTTATTAAGTATTTACGAAAATTCATAATTAATTACATTTGTAATAAACTTGATACGATTGATTTAACACTAACTTAAGAGAATGTTAGATATAGTTAAGCTATTATTAGATATTATTAATTACTTGTTAATTTTAGATGTAATGAGTTTAGACTCATCTTTTTATATTTTCTTATTTATAAATGCATGACTTTATATGCTTAATAACAAATTCATTCTATGTCTTTTTCTTTTTTATTTTAACACCAATGTATTGATTTTAAATTATAAAGAATATAAAAGAGTGTCTATTAAAAAAATGTTAAGTTTAATTATACCTTCTACTTTCGAGATAGTGCTTTTATCTTTATTATTTTTCTTATTAATCCAACCACCAACATGATCTATCTCTGAATAAAACAAGAGGTGGGAAACAAAAGTGCAAGACATGACCTAGGGAGATGAATTTCTCTTAATTATAATTTTCTATTTTAATTTAGATTAGTATTTGGTGATTTACTTTAATTATCAATAAGAAAAACATCAATGTCATGAAAATTTTTCTATACTCTCTCAAGTTCATTAATATATGTCCTACTCTAATTTAGTTATAATTTAAAAGTAGACAACGGAGGAATGAGGCTAAGTTAACAAATAAAATGCGGAAAATAGAATTAAACCTAAAGAGAGCAGCCTAAGTGGGGCAGCTCCAACAGAGGGGAAACAACCTAGTAGCCGAAGGCAAAACAGAAAACGAGGATTGAGTTTTGCTACAATGGCTTTTACTTCTTGTTCCATTGCTTCTCGGTTTCTCCCTCCCAGAAAAAACTCCGCAATCCCTTTTCACTTAACAACATGCACAGCTTGGGCATTTCCCACTGTTCTCACTCCACGACACCCACCGTTTTCGCTTTCTTCAACCTCCGCAACGTGCTCAGCAACTCCAAATTCAAACAACAACGCTACTTCCAATTCCATCAAGAACCAAGAGAAAGAGAAGGAAGTGGAAGTGGAAGTGGAGGAGGAGCTTCCCTGGATTCAGGAGAAGGCTTTGGACCTCGTCGAGTTCACCGGCTCCGTTACCCAAGCCATTCCCGGACCCAGAGTGGGTCCCACCTCCCTCCCTTGGATTCTCGCTGTTCCTCTCGCTTACGCTACTCTCACTTTCGTCATTGCTTTCGTTAAGACCGTCAAAAAGTTCTCTTCTCCCAAAGCAAAACGCCGCAGACTGGTCTCTCATACTCTTTATTCCCTCCAATCCAACGTTTTTTCTGTCTCACCTTTGCACCTTATACTAACTTTTTTATGTTTCCCTTCATTTCCAGGTCAGTAAAAACGCCACCTTGTGCAAGTCGTTGGATGATTTATTTCAAAACGGAAGACACCAAATTACGCACGAAGCTCTCGTCCAAATTCAGAACAAGGTGTGGTGCATCATTCTTATCTTCTACAGTCACTTTTACTCCTTCAATTTCACCATTTCATACAGTGGATTTCATATTAATAACTCTGGTTGAAATCATTGGATTAATTTGCCTTTTTTTTGTGATTCTGCATATGGTTAACTTTGGATTTTTATGTAAGCAAACATTATCTTTTTCCTCTTTTGTGATTTGCACAAGTTGATATTATATTTTAGTTTACAAAATTAATGTGAACAATGATCCTTCTGGTTGACCAAAAATGCTGTTCTTGTAATGTAAAATAATGACAACTTTTAATTTATCCTGATAATATTCTTGATACTTCACAGACTAACTAATTTTTCTTGTATGACCTTAGAAAAAATAAATTATTGGTGCTTGTGTCATTCCTAAGCATGATACATGCCAAGGTGAAATTGTTTGGAGTTTTTCAATGTGAAGGATCTTAATATCAGTCTTGGTCAGGAAATATTTCCTTGCCTTCCATTTGCTTGCCGGGGAAAATGTCATGGGAAAAAATAGTTTCTTTTTACTTGCCCTGACAACTTTTGCGTGCTTGTGCATATATGTCATATGATTTTAATTAACAGCTGTATATCACATGCAGACAGGTTTTGGTTTGGAAGAAATTTTGCGCAAGTATATCCGCTATTCTCTAAATGAGAAAGCATTCAATCCTGACATGGTAGCTGATTTAATTCAGCTTAGAAGAGCTTCTATGCTAAGTGATTCTCACGTTGCAGAGATTCTGAATGAAATTTCACGACGAATTGTGCGAGACAAAGGTAATGTATTTTTAACATTGGGCTAGATGTTTAGTTGATCACCCTTGGTAAATGGTTGTTTGTTTTGGATAAGATCTAGGAAAAGTAATCAAATTCTCATAAACTGTCAAACAATTTATTTTTCTCTTTGTTATGTATATTCACAAGGGGTTAGTATCCCAGTATATGGTGTCAAGTACTCTAAATTGTCGTAATTTCCTTCTAGGCTTCTTGCCATAGTTGATGTTAATTGAAAGGCGGCCTAATATACAGGTGGCCACGTAATAACAGAGGCAAATTTATTTTGTTATTTTAATTTTTCTTTGGCTTATTTTTCATTGAATTGAAGTATAAATTTGTCATTGACAATAATTCTTGTATGTTGTAAATGGTGTTAGAAGTAATTATTAGATGTAATTATTAAATCTAAGTGTTATAGAGTAATCATTAAGTCTAAGTAGGGAGTAGTGTGTTAGAAACATCTATCAGCTGTACCTAGGTGTTTAGTACAGATCTTTGATCTTCCATGCTCTCTTGTATAAGATTTTCCATTATAAATAGAAGATCATAAGAAGGGTCTTTCAAGCCCTCCAGAATATATTTCTCTCTTTTTAATCTTAAGTAATGGAATAGTTTTTAGTAGTAAATAACTGGATGGCTATGGAGTAAGAGAATGTACTTGTGCAAAAAATATGGACAGGACTCTAAACAACCTACGGAGTTGCAGATGCCATTTTATCTTTTCCTTCCACAGACACTATCTAAATGCCCTTTTATCTTGTTATTGGCTATTGTAATTACATAAAAGAGTGTATGGTTACATATTGATGACTTTCATGGTTTCTTTCTTTCAACTAACTATCTTCTAAAGGAGTAAGCCTTGCAGAGATTGTCATAAGATCATACAAGAA